GGTTGAACTGGATCATCGGAGGTCAGAAGCAAAGACATTGGTTAATAGAATGGGATTAAATGCATAAAGGATATTTGTGTTTTTTAACATTTAATTATTGCAGGTTTGCGTCATATTCTGAGTTGCATTATTTTTATTCATTTTGAGGAATACTGAATCTGTTTTGTTTTTTTTGTGAGTGAGATGAATTAATGCATATTCATATTTATTTTAGAACTACAGTGACATCTTCTGATTTCTCTCAACATGGGGACAGGAGACCTGTCAATCAATAAATTTGGGGGAAAAAAAAGTAACTTGCGTTACTTATTTGAAAAAGTAACTCAGATATTCTCTTGTAAATTAAAAAGTAATGCGTTACTTTACTAGTTACTTGAAAAAAGTAATCTGATTACGTAACTCGCGTTACTTGTAATGCGTTACCCCCAACACTGTATATATATATATATATATACGGTATATACTGTATAAAACATTCTGTTGTTTCTAGGTAAAGTTCCCAGAGAGTGTTCAAGGATTTCCCGCTTTTTTGAGTAATAACCAGTTTTATCAACATTAACTTCAAGTAAACTTAACTAGCACTAATTCTTGAGGGAATTTACATGATTATAACGAAGGCTGTTTCTTTCAATCTACTTTTTCAGTCTACAAACTTTTGACGCCCACTCAAAGTCTTTGCAAAAATCACTTGACAATTCATGTAAACTGCACCGACAGAACACCGAATTGCATTATAACACGTATCATTCAACAGCTATGATGCTGTGGTTTTACAACACAGTAAAGAATTCATGAGTTTTTTTTATGGAGACTTTGATGGCTCCTCAAGAGGGCACCGTAAATGTAAGAAGGAGAATAAATGCAGGTAGAGCATGTGATGCTGGCGCAGTACCAGACACTTCAAAACTATACAGCAAATCTGAAGTAAATCCATTTTGATTTCAGCAGGGATTCAACATCACACAATATGGTTCTATGTATGGTACAATATGGTTAAATGCAGTTTGAAGTAAGCATACGATTTTAAATTGTAGCATGTTTAAGATGAGCATTTGAATCATTTCTTTTATTAATCAGAAACATGCATTAGTGTTTTAGAGAGCCTTATCCAATCCAAAGAGATTTTAAAGGTCCTAATTGTCCCTCATCTCTTGGGACCCCCAGTGGGAAGAGGGGGGATGAGGGTGAGCGCTCAGGAACAGACGTGCCTGAATCAGCATTCCTCCCTCCCGCCCTCCTGTTAGAGATGAGTGGACTCTGCCCTGCTGAACCTCACGCTCGCTTGAGCTGCTCTTCACAGGATTCACACGTTTCGCCCTCTTCTTCATCCTGATTGCACTCCTCCTGCTGCTTTTCTCTCTCATGCCTCAGTGAACCCAAAGTCAAAGTATCACATCGAACTAAAACTCACAGCTAATTTCATTAAAGCTCATGCTGTCATTGCTTTCAGATATTTACAGTTACTTGTCCACAGATTCTCAGTTATTCAATAACATAACAACATATAGGGCTGCACGATTATGACAAAAATCATAATTGTCGATTATTCCCTTGAAGTTGTAATTGCGATTATGAATTACGATTATCACAATTTACATTGAATGATGTTTAAACCATTGTTTGATGCAACTGCATGCCGTATTTTATATGAAAATAAACAAGCTGAAAACACTCTAACTGAAAAACATTTAGTGCTTTTCTATAGTATTAAGACTCAAATGTCAAATATACATCGGATTGGTTTGGGTTGGTAAAAATATGAATGGTATTATAATGTTATACTAAAACTAAAATTTAAATAATGGGAAAAACCCTTAAGATAAAGAAAAAACGCATCTTAAGCGTGCAGAATAACTTAAGTGGACTTTGAACGATTAATTGCCGCTTTGAACGATTACGTAATTGTGGCATCTGTAATTGTAATCGCGATTAGAAATTCGATTAATTGTGGAGCCCTAACAACATATTAATGAACATTTTTAAAAAGATTTTTAAAGTCTTCCTGGTATTTAAGTGTTGCACTCAAGTTAAATTATATTAACTTATTACATGCAATCTGTAAAAATGAATTATGTGTAATTAGATTACAGTCATGGCCAAAAATATCGGCACCCTTGGTAAATATGATCAAAGAAGGCTGTGAAAATTAATCTAAATTACAAAAATCTAACCTTTCATTGGATAATAAGAATTTAAAATGGGGGGGGATTATCATTATGAAATAAATGTTTTTCTCAAATACACGTTGGACACAATTATTGGCACCCCTAGAAATTTTTATGAGTAAAATATCTCTGAAGTATATTCATATTCACAATTTTGAGCACTCCAGGGTGATTATGAACATGAAATTATCCAGCCATGGCTTCCTGTTTCACAGAAATATAAATAGGAGGGAAAACAAAGCCCAAATTCACTTAATCATCCATCACAATGAGCAAAACCAAAGAATGTATTTCTGATGTGCAACAAAAATAATTGAGCTTCACAATCATATTTACCAAGGGTGCCGATATTTTTGGCCATGACTGTATATTATGTTCCAAAATCCTCATAATCAGATTACAGTTACTTTTTTAGTGATTACATATTATGTTTTAATTTGTTGATTCTCTTTCTGACTTCTCTTTTAGAATTTCCTTTCACTATCTTTCCTTTAATGTTTGAACCAGATGCTAATTTTAAAATGTATTGTTAGCAACAGCGGTCTGTTTTTTCTTCTTCTAATTATTTATTGTTTTTGTATTATTATTATTCATTTTTTATGATAAGTAAATGTTATATAAACAACTGTTTTATCTATAAAAGAGTTTCAGTAAAACAGTTCAAAACGTTTCTTTCCCCTGCTTGCATAGGTTCGCAAATACGCCTTCATTTGATACAGGAACTATTCGAGCCGTTCATGCCAGACTGGGGAGAGAGGTGTTGTAATAATGTAAAATATGTGAAAAATAATGTGTTTTTCGAACAACCTAGTATGTGACTTTGTAAAAGAGCCCTTTAATATTTTTTTATAACAAAGAATGGAATATATTTATTTAATTGTATTTTCATACAGTATTCACTTTTTATTTCATCTGGCGTCTTAGTGATTTTCAGTAAATGTATGTAGTAATTCTCCTCAAGTTCACAGGGTGTAGTTCATTACATTAACTACAAACATTTTCCGCTAACATTTGACAACCAGAAAGTGTCCAGATACTCTTTGTCTATAAAGAGATGTAGTGGTAACCTTATGATTAAGCTAATGGCTGCTAATACAAGTTACTGATTAAAAACTAAGAACAAATTACCTAGAAATGTAAGTTACAGTGCTTCTCAATTATATGGGTATTATGTCCATAAAAGTTGCCTGAGGGGACAGTAATTACTGACTGCAAGTTGCTTAGGAAGAAAATTGTGAGTAATCATGATTCACATTACTTTTAGAGAGTTTAACCAAGAGATTCCAGCTGCTCCCAAATGCCAAAACCCAATCACACTTTTGTCCTAACATTACAAAATAACACACTGAGAAACCCCAGCAAACGTCTTGCCGATACCAGTACAATATCTCACGGGTCTCAACCAATCAGATTTGAGAACCAGATCGAACTGTTGTATAAATATATATAAAGTAAATTTAAGTTAATGTAAATTTAGTAGAAAAACTGTATTAAACAAAATTTGTTGAACATTTGCTACAGAATAAACGAGGAATTAAAAAATGTCTGAAATATTTTTACACCCAAACCGCATTTAAAGTTACAGTATGTTGCTAAATTAATGTCTGCATTAGTCTACTATACTGTAATAACCAGAGATGGGCATAAATACATGAAAATGTATTTAAAATTTAAATACAAAATACTGTGGAAAAATGTGCTTAAATGCAAATTACATTCGATTTTTTATTCCCCAAAGGCTTTAAAATACAAAATACAAAAAAAGTAGTTTGTATTTCAAATACGTACTTTAAATACATGTTTCTGAAATACTGCCCATCCCTGGTCATAACAGTCTGTATTTAAACACCTGTCATTATAATTTCAGCTCCAAAGACTTTTAGTATAATAAAAATGCAAACAAATGAAAACCACCCACAATAAATAATTTTTTTAGTAACTTGCTACTACTTTAGTAACACATGCTTACCAATTGTGTTTGAATGATTCAGAATGATCTCCTTCTTAAGTTAATAATTTCATATCAAGTTTTAACTAAGAACTAAAAAAAACAAACACTGGAGTCTACAAATGAGAATGTTTTTTATTTGTCTATAATCTGCAATTGTGTTTTTATTTGTGTCAAATCACTCAAAGTGAAATTGGTTAGGAACAGCTCACTCAAAAATGTAAGTTTGCTGAAACTACTCACCCTCAGGCAATCAGAGATGCAGATGAATTAGTTTCTTCTTCGTAACAGATTTGGAGAAATTTAGCTTTTTTAATGTGCGAAGACAACAGGGGATGGATCTTTTCCCTGGAGGAAGAGTTGTTATGGATTATGGACTCATATTTTGTCCAGAAGCGACAGTTTAAAGTAAAAAATGACTTAATGATAGATTTGTTTATTACAAACATGCAGCTTTTCATTTCACAAGACATTAATTGATGGATTGGACTCCAAGAAAGTACATTTCTCCAAATCTGTTTCGAATCTGTCTCTACATCTTGAATGGCCTGAAGGGGAGTAAATTTACATTTTTGGGGTAAACTATTCCTTTAAAGGTGTAATCCGAGACTCAACAGGAATTTCTTTGATACTTTGAAATATATTTTAATATACACATTTTTAATAAAATCTAAAAGGCAGTTTCGACCTCAGACAGTCATGCCATATGGCTTCATCAACAGATGAACACGTCTGTATTTTCACTTTCACTGTGGTAATTTGCTGAGCGGAAGGGAGAAATCTTTGCTGTCCGATTCTTTCATCTCCTCATAGTTCCTCACTACATCTTCGAGGAAATTCACCACAGTCTTCAGATCCTCACTGCTGTCCAACACGGCCTCTTCCAGCTGTCCCTTCAGCCTGGTCAGCGTCTCGTTGAGCGCCATCAAACCATCTTCAGGCACCGCATGATCCCCAGCCTCCTCCCCTGCAGCACCATCAACCCCAGCAGCCAAAGTCACACCCTTATTGCTAAGGTAGCTAACCAGGAAGCCCTGTAGTACTGGCCTGGATTGGTCACTCAGTGATGACCTCAGCGCTGGAAGGTCATCAGGCTGGCATAAGGACAGAAGGTGCAGGAGAGCATGGCAGAGCTGTGAGCGTAAGCTAGCACAGTAACGATATTCAAGGAAGTCCTCCATTTCTTCGCTGTGTTCAAGGGCCTGAGCCAAAGCTCGCCACACTTCGGCGAATTGTTGAGCGTCACCATAGCGATCTCGCATTGATGGAACAGAAAGTGCAGCAGCAGATTTGATGCGTACTTTGAAGTTCTTGCAGGATGTGACGACGTAGGACAGGGCAGAGTAGGCTTCCTTGGACCAGACGGCAGAACCTGCAAGTGAAATGGTGTGGTTTAAGCGGTTCACGCCATGGATTACCGTAATTACGACATCCCAACTTTTATAAAGCATTCACGTCTTTGTAGAACTCGTAATTACAACTTGTAAACTCTGAATTTTCTAAATGCTTTGACTTTGTTTAACCACTGTTTGAATTTAACTTATGAGCGAAACTGGAATAATCGCATAAAAAATGTGTTACGCAAAGTCACATGACTTTTTTAACATTTTTTTAATATGCATCAAGGAATTTATTCGGTATCCACTGTAGTTTATGCACGTTTTCTTATCAGATAAAAAAAAAGATCTGATTTGAGTGATTTATCCAGTTGAGTGCATTAGTTTTTTTATGCACATTTTTTGAATGTATGCGCTTCTTGGCATTTCAATTTTTTGTACGATATCCCAAAATGCGCATAAAAATAGTTGTTTAACCACTGTTTGAATTTAACTTATGAGCGAAACTGGAATAATCGCATAAAAAATGTGTTACGCAAAGTCACATGACTTTTTTAACATTTTTTTAATATGCATCAAGGAATTTATTCGGTATCCACTGTAGTTTATGCACGTTTTCTTATCAGATAAAAAAAATGATCTGAATTGAGTGATTTATCCAGTTGAGTGCATTAGTTTTTTTATGCACATTTTTAGAATGTATGCGCTTCTTGGCATTTAAATTTTTTGTACGATATCCCAAAATGCGCATAAAAATAGGTAATTATGGTAATTATGACATGTCGTGAACGCAGCCTTAGCTCAATGTTATGTGGTTATGTACTTTGTTAAATAATAAACCCACCCTTAAAACTCTAGAAGGGGACAAACAAGGGCTAAAGTAAACTTTAGTTTTTACAAAAATGCTTAATGCATAAATACAGCCAAATACAACGTTTACTCTATTTGATAGCGTGCATGAACACAGGCATTCGACATGTGCACTGGAAACGATGGAAACGAACATGTAACGATGCACCCCAAGGCTGTTGAAAATCAATAAAAATATGTGATGATTCATTTCGGTTGAGATGTTACATGAATCAATGAATACATTAGGGGGTGAGGGTTTATATGAATGTATCTTTGAGGGGAACTGACTGTCTTCAGAAAAGTTTAGATGGCCTTTTCTTTTCATCTCGTGACTGTATAATGCATATTAAAGTAGTGTTTGTAAGTGCAGCTGCTTTGTTTACAGCAGTAACCAAGGAAACGCTGTATTGCCGCTGTTCCATAAGCGCCACCTGCTGTCAGACAGTGAATTTACATTCTTGCGTTTAAAATGATAAAATCTAATTTAAATCAAAAAACTTCTCATGCTGTATGTATGCAGCATCTTTGTTTGGATTGTGATTAAAATGCAGTGTTTGCCTCAAATTTTCAATGGAAAGAGCACAGGGAACACCTTAGTTTGTTTATATGTAGATATTTTATTTGTATTATTTATTTATTTGATTTGGGATTTGTTGAAATTAAAATTTTTGTTATTTGACATTTCAATTTCACAAGGAAATGTGCAGCATTTTGTATGAGAAATAGTAAAAGGACACTTTTTTTTTTTTACTTTTATAACTTGCCTTAAATCTCATTTTGTTAAAAAAAAGAATCGTGAGAAAATCGTATCGTGAATCACATAGCATCGCGAGTTGAGCAAATTGTTGCATCCCTACTAGAAACTTTGCCCAGTGTCTGCGCTATTTCTCTCAAGGAATTATGAATTATTTTTTTGTGCTCTTTAAACTAAAGTTGCGTGTATTTCTTAACCCCCACCCCACAAAAGTGTTCAACACAGTGTTCAACACAGATCTCCAGTAGTTTGTTTTTGTTGTTGTTCTATCTCTTGCGTTTCTTTTTTGACTCTGAAACAACAGCCTGGGTCAGTGTTGTCACCTTGTGGATGAAATAATGGCAAAATAATTCAATGTGCTTGAAAACCAGGCTGAGCACATACTATGCATACCCTAGTGTACACATTAAAAAAAAAAAAGTATACTTTCACCATGATAAAGAAATGTTTTTCCAATCTAGTTTTAAATTATTTGAAAAACTTTTATACCACTTTAAACTTTTACTATATTTTTTTAAATATCATGTGGTGTAACCATCAAATAAAAAGTAATAACTAATTTTCCTTACACTCAGAATATACACAAAATACATGTGAAAGTGTAAATATTTTTCAATATGCAAATAATTTTTTATAAATATAATAAATAATATCATTGTTTTTAGACTTTGACTTTGTTTAGGGGACAAATGTTTTTCAAATATTCATAAGCAGTAAAACAGTTGTGTTAAATTATTATTTTTTTAAAAAACTAACAAAACATGTTTTTTTTTAAAGATTTTAATTGTTTTAATTTTATTTTCAAGAACTGTTAATTTTTCTTCATTGTGATAGGACAGCTGCATCACCCTGATTTTTTATTTAATTTTTAATTCAATAAAGTTCACTCACCCAGAGGCAGGCTGTGATTTCTGAAGGCATTGCCCAGTGCATAGCAGGCGTTCCAGCGCACTTTCATGGTTGCATCTCCTCTAACTGTATCTATCAGTGCCCTCATGGCCTCCTGCAGGGGCTGCTCAAACACAGGCTTTCCCAGGTGCACCGGCTGCAGGAAGTGAAGCAGATTCCCAAGCGCACGGACAGCATTGCTCTTTACCTGCAACACGGGAAACCCTTATCAAACTTGGAGTTCATTATCTCTTGATACGTTATGGAAAGGCGCCTTTTGTTTCTGCCTTTAATGAGGATGCACCATTACTCAAATTCTGACCGATAAGCTGAACTATTTTAATGTTAACACCTAATGTATAACACCTTATAGGGCTAGATGAACAAGAAACTGAAATGTGTTAATGATAATTATTAAAGCCAAGGTCTATTTTCAAATGATGACTTTAAACTTTTCTTTATGCATGAACACACAGATTTACACAGCTACTCTTAAAGGGAAAGTGTTATTACAGAAAACAAACCTTTCAAGAAATGGTGCTTGTAAAAGGTTAAATCAGGTTTTTAACGCATCTTGAATAGACAGTAATGTCCACAGTTAAATATCAAAAACATTGAATAATTAATATGCAGTGTCAACTGGTAATACTAACTACAATAAAAACACTTTAAGCTAAAAGCTACTAAATATACACTACTGTTGAAAAGTTTGGGGTCACTAAGATTTTGAAAGGAATTAATAATTATTTTCATGAAGGATGCATTAATTTACATTTGTGACCCTGGAGCACAAAACCAGTTTTAAGTCGCTGGGGTATATTTGTACCAATAGCCAAAAATACATTGTATGGGTCAAAATTATTGATTTTTCTTTTATGCCAAAAATCATTAGGATATTAAGTAAAGATCATGTTCCATGAAGATATTTTGTAAATTTCCTACTGTAAATATATTAAAACTTAATTTTTGATTAGTAATATGCATTGCTAAGAACTTCATTTGGACAACTTTAAAGGCGATTTTCTCAGTATTTTGATTTTTTTGCACCCTCAGATTCCAGATTTTCAAATAGTTGCATCTCGGCCAAATATTGTCCTATCCTAACAAACCATACATTCAGTTTTCAGATGATGTATAAATCTCAATTTCGAAAAACTGACCCTTATGACTGGTTTTGTGGTCCGGGGTCACATTTAATAAAGACTCATAAATCTCAAAAATCTCATATAAATGCTGTTCATTTCAACTTTTTATTTATCAAGAATTGAAAAAAAAAAATGTATCAAGTTTTCCGAGCGGTAATGATAATAAAAAATGTAAGTAACAGTATAATTTCATCAATAACATTAAATATGACTTCGTTTACTGGTAACATTTTGGCTTTGATGGGTGATGTGTTTTGGGATCTTATCTGCCCTTATAAAACATCTTTCTTTAACCCCTTAGCATTCCTGTCAAATTTGGTGCTCTGACAAAGACACTGATTGCACCTGCTGTGTTGATTGTATCTTAAAATGACAAGAATCTCAGCTTTCCAAAGTTATGTGACATGTTTAGCTTTTTGTTGTTGTATGAGTTGTTGTATGTCATGAAGTTAACCCTCAAAAACACACAGTGTACCACGGGTGGTACAGTGGAACGCTAACAAACAACTTATTCTCTCCAACAGTGGTATGTATCAGGAATTCCTAGCCCGAAATCTCAAATGTTTGCATAATTTAGCACAGTGAATAAACTTTTTAAAAGTTTCAAGGTGGAATACATTTTATTTAGCAGCTTTAGAAATCTTTTGAAGATGCCGTGAACTCATCATGTAAAAGGCTTCTGGCACCAGTAACAAAAAAAGAAATACCCACCCTGTCTTTATCTCCTGAAGCTTTAGTGGCAGATCTCAGCATGTTCAGAAGCAGCATATCAGAGAACTCCTCCTGAAACTCCAACCCCACTGACTGCCTGAGGACAACAAATGAGCAAAGGAAAACCATCTGTATAACTACATTAATGTAATTAAACACAGATGTGGTCAATTGTCTTTCTCACATGTTGACAATGAGCGTGTCCGTGAGGTTGCCAAGCGACCAGGCTGCCTTTGCACGAACGTTGGGTGAGCGGTCATCCAGAGCAGTGAGGATGGCATTAGCCGTGTCTGCCACAAACATCACATCCTGTGGTCGTGTAAAAAAAAAAAAAGCAAAATTAGTAAAGTTAAATCAGCGCGGAGTACTTTTCTAGGTGGATGAAGGTGGACTTACTACGTTATATATATTAAATATACAACTAAATAAAAGTAAAATATATTCTAAATATTTAGAACATTCTTTAGAAATTAAAAGTGAAGCTCTTTCACTATATGAGAAGGCTGATCTGTACCTCTCTCAGGCAGGGAAAGAGGATGTATACGCCTAGAGCTCTCACTGCTGCCGCCTTTACCAGTGAGTTTTCGCTGTACGTCAGTCCCAGCAGTATTGTGATACACAGCACTTGTTATCCTGCAGATAGTGATATATATATATATATATATACAGTATATACAAATCACAAAGAATATCATGTGGAAACTCAAGAGGTCAAACACACTCACGGGCAGCTGGCTGAAAGCTTGTGGTAGGATGGAGGAGAGGGTGTCACATGCGCTGGTCTGTAGGGTGGGATGCTGCTCGTTCTGTAAGGCACTGATCAGTGGAGCACCCAAGACGTCTGACCAGAACTCAACCACCTGAAAAGGGGCAAAAGACCATCAATATCATGATCTTTGAATTTAGTTTTGTGCCATGTCACATGCAGCATTTTTTACCTGACACACTGGCACACATTTGGCACTTTGTGGAGTGGTGTTGGCATCAGATCTGTACTGCTGGATAATGCCTGTTCCCAGTTCTTCCAGAAGCTTGTAAAATACACAGAAATTGTAAAACAGAACAACCACAAAAAAAACAAACATTAACAGTTAAAAAAAAAATGACAGGACAGGTCATTTCAGACATTTTTTTCTTATTAATTACATGATGTGCCAAATTAATTGGACATCAATTTTGGCTATAGAAAGAAATATTTTGATTTAACATTGCATAAATAATAATAAAAATTATATATTTTTTTGAAACATTGAATACTGAAATATAAAATTATTATTATAAAAAAAGAAATGATACTCCAAATATGAAGCAAAAACCATCAGAAGATGGCAGCAAGTAACTATCTTGATGAGGGAGTCATTTAGTCATTCATTCAACCGATTCATAATGGTCAAGTCAATCAGAAACCAATTTTTATGAATTGGTCATTGAATCATTGGCTCACAAGACTTACAATCGGAGGTATCCTTCATACAGCATAAAGAGTGCAGGATAAGTTGCTTGCTTAAGTTTAAGACTAAATGCCTGTTCACACCAAGAGAAATCTTCGATGCAATAAACATTTTAATTTGAATGAACGGCTGTTACATTGTCTGCTCAGATCTACAAACATTTGAATTACTGCTTTTCCATAAGCACCACCTGCTGTCTGAGAGAGAATTTGCTTCTTTTTTTTTTTCAGCCCATCTGCAGTTTTTTATGCACTGGTCTGAAAGACATTGCATGGAAAACCTGAATTTTCATTGTGAACATGCCTTAAAGGGTCATGAAACCCCCCGTTTCAGCACTGGTTAGTTCTCACCACAGTTTAAAAAAAATGCTAAAAAAAAGTGGGTGTGGTGCACAGTGGAGCGGAGGAGGGGGAAGAGAGGAGACAGACAACACACACAGCTTCGCATTCAGTTTCATTTTGCTCCCATCGAGTTAAAAACACAAATAAATGCACAGCCATTTGCACTGTGCATCGAAAACATATATATGAACGCGCTGTTGCACCTCTGAGAACTTTTAAGGCTTATTCTGTGGCGTTTATATAAGCCTTTCGACAGGGTTGTGTCACAGAGCTGTAAAAACGGTTATGCTCACCAAGTGAATGAATCGCGTTTGTGCCGAACTCTTATTACAAAGCAAAAATAAACACTCTTCTTTGATCCATGAACGTTTCTCTCAGTTAATGTGCGCGATGTCATCTCACAGTCTGAAGCGTCTGTCATAGCAAATCAACACATGCTGTTGTGAATAATTAAGCGAAGCGTCTTCTCATAGGATAAGAACACGCAGTCTCATGAATAATTTAATAGACACTGACGCGTCACCGATGTACTATAGTCCATTGCCCCGTCACAAATTGTGACGTCAACACAATGTAGATTTTGAACCCGGAAGATGAAAAAAGAGAAGTCTGAGCCAGTGAGAAGTAACCCTTCACCAGATGAGCCAAAACCTGAAATAAACCACATACACACAATTAAAGACAAACATTTCATGATGCGCAAATACTGTGGCTGCCTCTTCACAAACAGACCACTCACCTGCAGGGCTTCAAGTCGTACGGGTGAAGGTTTCAGCGATGCTCCACTAGACCCGCCTGCGTCACTATCAGAGTACGGTTCCTCACGAGGCTGAGTGACCAGGCTCACGCACAGCTGCAACAGCAAGCACGGCCCCTCCTGACCCCCTTCAACTCCTCCTCCAGGAGACGAGATCTCTCCGTCTCTCAGAGTGAGAAGTCTCCAGTTGTGAGAGAGCTCCTGCGGAGTGCTGATGCCGGGGGTGCTGAGGGCGGATGTGGATCCGGGCTGCTGGAGAAGGAGCTGGATCTCTGGGAGGGGGGCTTGTGTTGAGACTAATGCACCGAAGAGGGTGAGACTGGACACACGGACGTTCACATCTACCATGGGAGGAAGAAACAGAATGGTGAATGCTCGAATTGGCTGAATTTTTTGTCATTTTTTTTTAGACCATGTATTCAACATCTGGACAGTTTTAATAGTACAACTTGTAATAGTACCTCTGTGGCGCACATATGGACGGATCTGTTTCCACAGTGGGCTCAACAGGCCCGGTCTGAGACGATTATAGGGCACGTTGGACACCAGGTGGGCAAGGCACTGAAAGACAAAACACAAATGGTGGTGTTCACAAACTCATTGGACCAGATTTACTAACAGCTTGCACCGGAGCAAACCCTCTTTTGGTATTAAAAAAAAACTACTGTCAGGATTTACTAAAAGCACTCAGTGAAAAATTTGCACTGAAAAGGTGTGGACAGCTGACCTTATTGCAAATGCATTTGTAGGAGTTTCCCTTTCAGACGCAAATTTATGGGAGGATAGTATTTAAATGAATCATGCAACATGATTTATTAAAGTTTGCGGTAGTGAATTTGCGCCAATTAGTAATTACAAAATTGCTTAAGTTAGTTCTGAGAAAAGGTCTAGCGTTATTCTGAGGCCACTACATGTTTTATAAATTATAATAGAAATGATGGTATTATTAATAGTATTTATTTAGAATTTGCTTTTATTGTTAAGATTGGTTTTAATTTTAGTTTAACTGTTAGTAATATTATGATCTTTTGTCATTTTTGTTTTTGCTTATAATTTAGCATCATGGCTATATTCATGACAAGAAACAAGTTAAAAATAGGAAAAGTAAATAAAAAAATATATAAACAACATTTATAAAATAGTTTTTTTAAAGTTGATCTTTTATATATATAAAAAAAATAATAATAATAATTCTAAAACTAAATCTGGCCTCACTTCATTAAAAATCAAAGTCCATCAAAACATGCTTCAGAGATATTGGACTATGGCATAAGAGGCATAAAAGAGGGTGTTTGTATTTGTTTTTCAGAAATGTTTCTATGCTGAAATAGGAAATGTTTTTGAATTTTTGTTGTAGTTTTAGTAACTTCGAGTTATCACCTAAACCAAGGCAATATTTCCAATATTTTTAGGTTAGGTTATTCATCTAATATTTATATTTGATCTTTATTTCAGTCACCAAAAATGATTTCTAATAGTTGTAGTAAATAATAAGAACACTGGCGTGAGTGTGTGGTCTATTACCTTTAAGACCTGCGTGAGGGTTTGACAGGACGACTCCGCTACGAGTGCTAGCAGCAAGCAGCGGTGCAGCTCTCTGACACTGGCAGCTAATGTGGCCGAAAAGGGAGTGAAGGCCTGGCGGGGTGCACTGGTGTCTTCAGCGGTGGAAAGGAACTGGCGAGAACCTTCTAGAAGAGCAGACATAACCTGCAGAGAGCCTGCCCGTACCTAGGAGCAAATATGGTACGTCAAATGTCAAATAGGCCATATTTATCTCATGTCAGAAACTAAATGGCCAACAGTGGACTTGTGTTTTACCTTTGGGGAGGGGTCCTTTAGAGCAATGGTCAGGAGGGTAAGAGGAGGAGGGCCTCCAATCCCAGGAGCATCTGGAACAAAGGAAGACCAGTAGCCATAGAGGATTCGTTTCTCAACACACTTGACCACAGCCAGGAAGCACTGAAGCGCACTCTGCCGCACACGTGCTTGATACAGCCTAGACAGTAGACAAAACAAACACATTTATATTTAAAGCCATGACAACAAAGTGCAATCATGTCTCATTACAAAAACAGAAAACTAGATTAGCTAATTAACTTCTTATGCAACAGCCAGAAAAAGTTACAGAAATTTAGCATTTTAAACTAGATAATAACCAATAACAACCAATCAACAATAGTTAGTCATTATTATTATTGTACAATATCGCATAATGACACAAAATATTCCAAATTAATAGGTTTATTTTTGTAATATAATGATTACTACTTCTGATTACTATTAAAGCTGTGCAAGAGAAATACAGCAATAGTTATTGGACACTTAAAGCTTGCAAAAAAACCTAATATTTATGATAACAACAAGTTAATATTAATAATACTGATAATCTATTAATTACTAAACATTAAAATATGCATTAATTAAATTACAATTCTAAATTAAATTATAATTTATTGTACAAAATACAACAGCATAACCATACAAAATATTCATAAGGCACAGGTTTTTGTTGTTTTAATATAATTACTATTTATCATATAACTACAATTGCAGTTGTGTCAGAGCAGAAACAGTATCAGTTAGTACTGAACACTTGTGCAAAAAGTGTTACAGATATTTCATAATTATATTATAATTAATATTAATTATTATTAAATATTCATTAAAACATGCATTGTTAAGTAAATTGCTTATAATAATAATAATGCATGTGTTTTTATTGTTGTAGTAAAATTATTATTTAGTTAATCATCAGCTGAAATTAAACGAGTAAACAAATAAGATCAGCATTTCTGTTAGTGGACACTTAAACATACAAATATTAGTCATAAAAAAAACTTAATCTCTACATAACATGTAAAAATGCATCTATGCATATAGATATAGAGCTTTTTTATATAGAGATTTTTCTGGGTCATTTACCACCTGTCAATGTTTTGTTTGACCTAATAATGTAAGAAAGCTTTCCTGGCATTAATAGTCTGAGAGTCAAACCTAAGTTTAGATTGCATTCCTCCCTCAGGGTCAGAGAATTCAGAGTCAGAGCTCCCTTTCTTCCAGGAAGTGTAGAGTTGCGGAGTCACTCCTGACGGGGACGTCACACTAGCGGACTGCGAGCCAAGACACCAAGTACTCTGAACCACTCCAGCTCCCCCAGTTTTATGATGCCCCGAGATGTGGTCACCCTCTCCCTCCTCTCCATCATTCTTTCCCTCAGCTCCAGCTTTCTTCCCTTTCCCACGAGACTTGCGCTTCTTGTTCTGTTGGGACTAAAGCAGAATTATAAGGTTTTGCTTCCTCTGGAGATAATACAATTATAGCCTTGATTTTACAACATCCTTTATACTTGTATTTCTAACACATGTGCACTTATATGAAACGTTTTGGCCACCTACCCCAGCCGTTTTTTTCTGTGCAGCGGAGTCTTGTGAAGGTTCAGGTTTTGCAGCGGGAATAGTCTCATACTGAGGGAGAGGAGCTGGGTACAACACCTGTGGCATTTCCACACTTATTCCCGGCAGCCCGTAGAACATGAATCTCTGCCAAGGACACAATGAGACAATTATCAATTATCATAATGCAATTAGCTCCCCTCCACTTATCAACTCAGCTTCATTTTTGAACTGTATAACCAATCTGTAAATCTACAGCTATAAAAGCAAGAACAGAACAGTGTGGATACTTTGAGCACAGCCAATAAGGTGCCCAGATCCTGGTTCGGAACGGCTTTCCATTTTCCACCATTGAGAAAATACTGCGTTCCCTTCAGAGCACTCTGCAATAACTGAAACACAAGCAATGAGAAACTTTTACAGTACATAAACAAAAGACAATGTGAATAACCAACAGTTTGACAGTACTTCAGTAATCTTAAAGGGGTCATATGATGCTGCTAAAAAGAACATTATTTGGTGTATTTGGTGTAATGAAATGTTTATGCGGTTTAAGGTTCAAAAAACACATTATTTTCCACATACTGTATATTATTGTTTCTCCTCTATGCCCCGCCTTTCTGAAACGCGTCGATTTTTACAAAGCTCATCGGTCTGAAAAAGCGAGGTGTGCTGTGATTGGCCAGCTATCCAGTGCGTTGTGATTGGCCGAATTCCTCAAGCGTGTGACGGAAATGTTACGTCCCTTAACATATTGTGATGCCTGCGGCAACCACATGTGACGACCCCGGGCTGGACTCCGCTTCGTCCACGGTGAAAGCCGATCCGGCGATCCACAGCGCAAAGTTGAAGTATTTCCTCAGCGACCAGCACGGATCAGCTCTAGGCATGACGAAGCGGATATCGTCCTCTTTTGGAAGACCAAACAAAGTAGTTTCGCTTTCACAACGAAGCACACAGCGACTTCACGACATGGTGGCGGCGGCAACAATACTACATGCACCAAGAGCTTGTAACACTCCAAAGAGAAAGGAAAAATTGAAATTGCATCATATGACCCCTTTAATTAAAAGTAACAGTACACCCAAAAATGAAAATTTGCTGAAAATGCAGTGAATGGGTGCCGTCAGAATGAGAGTCCAAACAGCTGACAAAAAAATCACAAGTAATCCACATGACCCCATTCACTTCACAAGACGTTAACAGATGGACTGAAGTCATGTTGATTACTTCTGGATTATTGTGATGTTTTTATCAGCTGTTTGGACCCATTCACTACAGAGGATCCATTGGTGAGCAAGTGATGCAATGCTAAATTTCTCAAAATCTGTTCTGATGAAGAAACAAGCTCATCTACACGTTGGATGGCCTGAGGTTGGATACGTTTTTTCAAAAATGTTCATTTTTAGGTGAACGATTACTTTAAGGTGCGGTCACATTTAGCGTTGCTATGAGAAAACTCATGGGTCAGTTCAATAGGAATCTGTGCGATTGGGAGTTTCACATGAGGGCGAAAAAGTTCCCCACGCAAATTTCACTCAAGTTTAAGTTGGTCATGCAAATTCACGCTGAGCAACAGAAAGTTACTTGGTTTGAAAACGGGGCTTTATACATTGCCACACTCATGACAACAGAAATTGGACATCGCCAAACTTTCGTTAACGTGACCTCACCTTGACTTATAGTAGCATTGGTAGATAAACATGCAGTACTGACTGTACAGAAGACAATGTCCTCCACATCAGGTGGTTTGGGGGACTGTAGTGTCCGCATTCACTACAGAGGATCCATTGGTGAGCAAGTGATGCAATGCTAAATTTCTCAAAATCTGTTCTGATGAAGAAACAAGCTCATCTACACGTTGGATGGCCTGAGGTTGGATACGTTTTTTCAAAAATGTTCAAAATGCGCATAACAATCGCATTCGATTAATCGTGCAGCCCTACTGTAAGTACCTGTAGCTGGTTTAGAAGTTGATGAATCAGTTGGCTCAGTTTGATGATAAGATGCTCTTGGCTGAGAGGAACCAGACGGCTTGCATGCATAAGCATCTCACACACAACCTATGAAAGATGACAGGTGGTCATTTAAAATCCCATATTAGATGACCACTACCACTGAATTATGCCCGCTCACAGACATAGGTTCTGCCTTTTTGAGATTACTGGAAATTGTACAAATGGCTACATTTTCTGTACATGTTAATTTATTATTATTAGTTTATACTTATATTTTAATTAATTGGTGCATATATACGTGTACACGTTACATGATGTATACAGTTATTAAGTTGATTTTTTTACGTTTTTAAAAGAAGTCTCTTACGTTCACCAAAGCTGCAATACTTTATTTGATCAAAAATTCAGTAATACAGTGAAAACAAAACATGTCTTAATAATATCAAGATTGAAATCAGTTTTTGCTGCTTAATATTTTTTGGAAACCATAATACACTACCGTTCAAAACTTTTATGTAAGATTTAAAAACAACAACAACTTTTATTTAGTAAGGACACGCTAAATTAATCCAAAGTGGCAGTAAAGATGTTTATAATGTTACAAAAGATTTCTCTTATAAATAAGTGCTGTTCATGTAACTTCCTATCCATCAAAGAATCCTGAAAAGAAAATGAATCCACAAAAAATATTAAGCAGCAAAAACTATTTTCAACAATGATAAAAATAAGAACCATTATTAAAAATTGAGCGCCAAATCAGCATATTAGAATGATTTCTAAAAGATCATGTGACAGTGGAGACTGGAGTAATGATGCTGAAAATTCAAACAAATTATATTTTAAATTGTAATAATTATTTCACAATATTACTGTATTTGTGAAGAAAAAAAATGCAGCCTCAGTGACCCTACGATACCTCTTTCAAAAACAATTAAAAAGTGTAATAATGCTCAGCATTTGACAGGTAGTGTACATGTATGCATTTGAGATTTCTTAGATCAGTCTTAACATTTAATTGATTTGTATCCAAAGTTGTATATTTATGTAACTTAGTTATACAAGTTCTGCTTATTTCTAACGTGGAGGTCTCGGTCTTGTTTGGCCTCATTTGTTGTATAGTGATACATTTAAAACAAATACTTAAAATAAATAAATAAAAATTAAATAAGAAAAGCAATTAAAAAAAATCTCACGTCTGTAAACAAGTACAAATAATTACAAATTATTCAAAGAATAGATTTAAGGCTTTAAAGTAATTTACAGTTTTTTTTGCTTTGTTATTTCTTGTTTCTTTTAACGTATACAAGTAGTGACCTATTTCTATTTTGAAATGAGTAAAATTAGGGTTTTTCACTGCCCATTTACATTTGTGAATAAAGAATTTTCCATATATAATGAGTAAATTCACAATATACCAAATCTTGAAGTCAACAGTATACTCATAAAAAAATAAAACATCCTTTTCTTTGAGTTGCAATTCAATATTAATACTTTGTTTAACAAAAAAAAACAAATCACACCAAAATAATTTTGTATAAATACAATCATAAAATAAATGAACAATACTCTAATTTTCCTCTTTACAGAAAACACACTTCAAGTCAATGTCTTTACAAAACTTTGCAATTACCTGTTTTACAGGATAAATACGATGAACGATCTTGTATGATACTTCTCTAATCTTATTTGTGATGCAAAAACGTCTGGAGATCTTAAAGGTTTCTGGAGAGTGCGATTTTGATGACATGGACTGAATCACACCCCCCAATAATATATTAAGTGTATTTAATATATTAAATGTATTTTTGTTTCGTTGCAGTTACTGTTCTTAGATAAAACAATTATATATTTAAAATAACTTATTTATCAATATATTAAATTATACATTTTTTATGCAGGTAACTCTAAATTATTGCGCACATAAGCATTTCGAAACAACACAGGCTGGCGGCACCTGCTGGTCGTGTTAATGCAACGAAAACTCCGCCAAACTTGTATAATGACACATTTTACAAAAAAAAAAAATGAATGATGAAAGTGTAATCTATTAAATGTAATCTACAAATAAATAAATCGCATTAAATAGGGAGGTTCTGTAAAATTATTTTTATTAATGCATAGTGCTTGTTTTGTGTGTTGTTAGACAGGGCTTGGGCTTCAAAATTATCCTCTTTTTTCTGTTTTATACACACTCAAGTATTAAAATTCATTCATTCAATTAAAAAATAAAAATAGATGGTTTTTCACCAGATCAACGCCATCTAGCGGCGAACCATCAGAGTTTTGAAAAGTTTCGAATCTAAGAAGCCTCTTTGCTGAATTTAACCAAAATACGCTTCTTTGCATTTCAAGACAACTTGGGTCGTGCGTTCTACCATTTTTCAAATACGTTCTTTATAAACGCGTTTTTCACTACTGTACGTTACCTTACTTGCAGTGGTTTTTCGTGCCACCGCGCGCAAATTCAACTTATCGACAATGACAATATCACCTGCCAGAGCGAAATTCACTGCTGGCCAGCTGAACATTTACTACCATTTTGTACTTAAGCAGTTGTTGATTTCGTACCCTGGTTTGGGGGCAAAATCGCCGTTGACGTTTCTTCATGTTCTCCGTCTCTCTCCGTAGCAAAGTCTCACCTTGAAAAGCGCGGGAATAAATTTGACTGGTGCAGAATCTTGCCACTTTAGACCAGTCTAATCAACCATATCGGTCTTAGACTGTTTTAATTTTATGAGCAGTTTAAGTTTATTTAATTGTGTTGTCTTGACATGAGATTTAGTTAGCGGTTTTAGTACATGTCTGCAGAGTTGGGTAGATTATGTAATCAGATTCCGAAAAAAATTAAAGGGGTCATATGATGTTGCTAAAAAGAACATTATTTTATGTTGTAGAAAAGAATGGGTCTCCTGACTGGTTACATCACTGCATTTGAAAACATAGACAGCAGATAGCAGCCTGGCCACATTTACACACCACACCGTCTTCAACAGGCAGAGCTCCAGAAAAGACTAAACTCATCACTGAATAAAATATTTAGAGTGGGACCGTCGCTCACCCAGGAGGGCTTTTGTGTCATGACAAAGGGTTTGCGAGGGGGACCATTGACATGTTTAAATGTATACACTTTCATAAAAATGGGCATAAAAGCAGCAAAGCCTTTAGTAAATGTGTGTCCTTGAAATTCAAGAGGTACTGTATCATATTAATGGCCCCTTGTTTCCAGAAAGGTCTGCTCATTAGTAATTGAACTCAGCCTGCATTCTCCCTATCTCAGCAAAAATGCACACACCAAGAGCCCTTGTCTCCTGAGATAGTGAAGTTTGTTAAATTCTTGAGCTACACTTCAGTAAGAGGCAAATGAAGAAAATTGATCATGTTACATTATAATGCAAAAAGAGGAACCATAATTTCATTTTACATCATATAACTGGGGATAGGAACAGTCATTAAAGGGTTAGTTCACCCAAAAATGAAAATTCTGTCATTAATTACTCACCCTCGTGTTGTTCCAAACACGTAAGTCCTTCATTCATCTTTGGAACACAATTAAAGATATTTTTGATGAAATCTGAGGGCTCTCTGACCCTCCCATAGACAGCAAGGTAACTACCACGTTCAAGGTCCAGAAAAGTACCAAGATGATCGACAAAGTAGTCCGTGTGACATCAGTGGTTCAACTGTAAAGTTACGAAGCTACGAGAATACTTTTTTTGCGCAAAGAAAACAAAAATAACGAAAAAATGATACTGTCGTGAACACGAGTCCAAAGTGACGCAGTAGAGACGAAAATGTGGAATAAAGTCATT